TATACTATTGTTATTATTATTATGCTTATTGTGAGTTACAGGATGGTTATATTTCTTCTCTATATTTAAAAATTTGTCAGAGAATCAGGTACTAGATGTATGGAACAAGCATGCTAATCAAACATTCTTGTTATGCTTATGATTGGATATGTTGATATTGATATGTTATGCTATCATATATATATTATCAATACTGGATGGATGGTTTGTATGCACCGGTATGGGACAGTGTCATACTAGGGGGATTAGCTCAAAAATAAAATGCTAAGTCCTACCTACTCTGGATTAAGTGATGGATTAATTACAAAAGTTAAGTCCTACCTGTCTTCTGTGTCAGATCAATAAATAATTGAGTGACACTTTGGTTTGGAATGGAATTTAAATATATTTTTATGATGCCACGATATGAGCCTGAGACTTAGAGTCGTTGGTTAGGGAGCGTATATGTATTGGGATGCATAGTTGGCTATGATGGTTGGATGTGTACCCTGCTAGGGCTAGGTAGTCATGCCAACCTTTGGGTGCATTTTCGCATGGTGCCTACTAGTCAGATTGAGACAGGCCTGTAGTCCAGTGAGAGTCCTGTAGTGTGATTATATATATATATATTTATCTACGGACTATTAGCTATTGTTGGATTGGTTAGGATGTACATGCGTATCGGGTCTCTGCTTGGGTAGTAGTAGTATAGAACTTGCATGTGGGCCTGACCCACTCATCATTTTTCAGGTATCGGACATTTCCAGTCTAGAGCTTATTCGTACTGAGCAGAAACGATCTTCCATTCTACCGATGACGTAGGATTTCTTTCCAAATATTAGATTTGGATTTTATTTTCAGTTTTTACTTTCATTTAGTTTGGGATTTTTATTAGGGGTCCACTAGAGATGGATTCCCGAGTTGTTAAACTGATGGAGTTTTGGATTATCAGATTCTAAGTATTTAATTATAAAGGATTTTACTTTTAGTTTCTTCCAGCTTAAACTTTATTTATTAAATTCATTTTGTCATCTGTGTTCGATTAAATATTAATTGTTTGATATCCTTCGGATCTATGCTCGGACTTGATCACCTGTGTCTCTAGAATCGAGGGGTATCATAGCTGAAGACGGCTCAATGGTTAATAAGAGCCTGCTCTTGGTTTTTTTAGAGTAGGCTCACTTATGTGTGTGCGTTCTGAAATTCTTTGTGCAATGTTTGGAGAAGTTTCATTTTTCAGAAGGGTTTGGAAGTTTACAAGGGTTTCTAAATATGGTTTTCATGAAGCTTTAAATCCTCATATGGCATAAATTATATCTGCAGACGTAATGGATGCAATGGTAGGAAAGTAAACAATGGAGCAGGCTTTGTGGTTTCGGGTGTTACAGTGTGTGTTACAGAAGCTTGAAAACTTAGAAAAGGCTCTTGAAAACTTAGAGAAGGCTCAATCCACTTAGAGAAGGCTCTTGAAAACTTAGAGAAGGCTCTCCCTTAGTTAGGGACGTCTCTAGGTAGCTTAGAGCCTTCTCCAGGTTTTTTTAGAGAAGGCTCTCTTCAATAGTACACTTGTTTTGAAATTTTTCTACAACTGTTGGTACTTTGGAGCATGGGATTACTTCTGTTGATTATGGGGTTTCACAGAAGTATTAGAAGATTGGTTTTGGATGTTGTTAAATCTTTATATTGAGTAAGGTTGACCTCTAAGTGAATGGAATTAACAGTGCGTTATTCTAACAACTATGCGTACGGTTAATTGCTGGAAGGAGATTTATTGTCTAGTTTTAATTTGACAATTTAAGGTGTTATATCATGATTCCAAATTAAGTTTTAAATACATGGTGAAGTCTTTTAATTAACAAATTGGACTTGGGGCATAGTGTATGGCTCCGTGCTAAAGGATAAAACAGAATACGAGTATAGAACTTAGTACGCTGTTACCGGATGGAAAGAATTAAATTGCTTAAATTAATTTAGCAATTGTTTGGACTATAACATGATTATAAAACTTATTTAAATGCACGATAGAGTTGTTGATTTATTAAAACTGATTTATGTATGCTCTGGATACTGGTTGTTGAACTATTAAACCATTTCTTGCAAATACATGGTTTAGATCTTGGATTTAAATTGCTGAAACTTTAATCACTTTTTCTGCAATGATATGGATATTTGGTTTTGGACTGTAAATTACTTGCTTATTATTTATATGTTGTAATTTACATGGATATGGAGGATTGTATGCACCGGTATAGGTTGGTGACATACTAGGTATGGTTTAGCTCAAAACGCTAATTCAGGAACGTTATGGATTTTAATTGGTGAACAGTTTTACCTGTTCTATCAATTATATGGATTTTGTGGATTGTATGGACCGGTATGGGACGGTGGCATATCAAAATACTCAGTCCTATCTATTTTGGAATAAGGGTACGAATTATAAAAATATAATTCTCCTTATATTTAAGTTTGTGCGGTTGAATAAGCTGAACGACTTATTGGATCTCTTATATAAGTCTGTGCGGTTGAATGAGCTGAACGATTTATTAGATTTCCTATGGATGTATATGAATGGATTTTAAATATATTTTTATGGTACCGCAATCTGAGCTTGAGTCTTATAATTGACGGTTAGGGTGCATATATGCAGTAGGATGCGTAGCTAGCTATGTTGGTTGAGGTATACCCTGTTAGGCTTAGGTAGTCATACCCACTCAGGTGCGTATTGCATGTTGCCTTCTATTCAGGTTGAGACCCTCAGCATAGTTTAGTGAGAGTTCTGTAGTATGAATATATATTTATCTATTACGGAGTATATAGATATGGTTGAGACATTTAGGATGTATCTGCGTGTCGGGTCTTTATTTGGATTGTAGTTAGGATAAAACTTGTTCGTGGGTCTGACCCACTATTATTTTTCAGGTAACGGACGGTTCCAGGTCTTAAATCTAGTTCGTGCTGAGTAGAGATGGCTTTTTATTCTTCTGATGACGTAGGAGCTTCTTCATGATTTAGCAGTGGAGTTTTTCAGTTGATGATTTCAGTGTTAGAGTTTTTAGGGGTCCACCAGATGGATTCCCGAGTTGTATTAGAAATGGAGAATTTGGATGTATCAAAATAATTCTTTATTAATTTAATTTTATTATGAGGTTTTAGTATTTGGATTATTATTCTAGTTTCTTTTCAGCAAATTTTTATTTATTCCTGTTTCCTTAATTATATTCTGTGTTCGTTTATTACTAATTGGTTTGATATCCTCGGGTAATCAGGCGTGGGCCTGGCCAACCCGCATCCGTAAATCTGGGGGTATCACAATATATATGTATAATATATATAATATATATTTCAATATATTATAATACACACACACACACACACACACACACATATATATATATATATATATAATATTTCAATATATAAGACAACCATTTTACTTTACGTTTGAAGTTCTTATACCTAGGAAATTTTACATGTTTAGAGAACTTACCCCCAAAGGAAAATTCTCAGAAGCTTAGAGCAACTCCAATGAAGTCTTTAAAAATTGGCTCTTTGAATTTGCAACGCCAGCATTTTCTAAGAGTCAAATCAGCGTTTTGGAGTCTCCAAATTTTAGTTATCGGATGTACTTCAATGGTGCATTTTCGCTCTCCAAAAATATTAATAATTTAATATTTTTAAAAATTTTAATATATATATATATATATATATATATATATATATATATATATATATATATACACACTCTATCCTAAAAGTTATATTTCAAGCGGTTATATCATACAAAAAAATTTAAATAATACAATATTTATTATGGATTATAAAAATTAAAACAATACAATACGATATGAAATTAAAAAAAAAAAAAAAATACAATACCATTATTAAAATCAACTAGGAAAAACACAACAATCATATGGGAAGCTTGAGGCACTGTTTGTGTCACTTGAAAACTTTAAAAAGGGAAGGAAAAAAAAAAAAAACCCACTTTTTTCCATTATTTTAAACTTTTTTTTTTTTATCCAAAAAAGCCTTTAAGGCACTGTTTGTGTCAGCCAAACAGTGCCTTAAAGGCTCTTTGGTTTAATTATTGAGAAAAAAAGGCCAAAAAAAACCAAAAAAAACTATTTTTTGAAATTTTTTGATTAGCCAAACACGCCCTTAAATTTATTTTGGGTTACAGTGTTTTGGGCCACAAAAGTTAAAAAATCAAAAAATAGGCGAGCCCGCATAAGGTAGCCCGCAATTGCCAATTGGGTTGCCCTTTTTGGCGACCCATTCCGCGACCAAAAAAATGGGGCTCATATTTTGGAGACCCCATTGGACTAACCCAATCGGTAAAAAAGGCTTAAAATCTCTAAAACGAAGTATGGTGGAGATGCTCTTACAAATGACTCAAAGATATATATATATTTTTTGGAAATTAAATGACTCAAATATCTTGTTGCACTATAAAGAATTATTTCAAGCATAAAGGTTATCCAGTATTATTTGCCACCATGGATCATAGTACTTTTATGCTTCAAAAGTGAAATACAATGGCTATATAAGCGAAGGATTTTTAATAGTTATTTAAAAATATAAACTGACATCCTGAAAATAAAAGAAAGTAACAATTCTCAAATTTAGTTGTTATCAATGCACGTATTGCACATTTTCTCCCCTCTATGATTTTTTTTTTTTGGTTGTGCACCGATATGGCACAATATAAACACTTTTGGTGTACTTACAAAACATTGCAAATCGATATTATAATTATTATTTTTTGATAATAGAATTTAATGTAATTTAAATATACTATGAATTAATTAAAAAAATTAATTTGTAGAAAAAAATTACAGTATAAGTTTCAATTATTATGGGTAGCCCTCTGTTTTTTTTTTTTCTTGGGCTGCAGTTCTTGCAGTTTGGATCGGATACTCACTATCTAGGGTCCATTCTAGAATAAATAACATTTTGAAATAAGGAACCGTTGTACTATGTCTCAACGGCTAGTTTTGTTTAACTTCATTCCTTTCTTTTCACCCGAGAGAGAGAGAGAGAGAAGGGGTTGGAGGTTTTTTTCCTTCACTACAGTGTCAGGACAACATCGCGGCCAGTTTAAGCTGACCCATCCAAACCCATCTCTACTATTCCGATCCAATTTGTGGAATAGGAGTGAAAATTAGGGTTTTTGGATGACCATTTAAAACGTTCTGGTCTGTGATACAGTAATCGTTTCCACAGAGGAAGATCTCCTCAATTAGGGTTTTTGGGTGAATTGCTTCTCCAATCTCATTCATTCATTTCCAATCATTGCTTCAACAATTGCACTAACAGAGTCAATTTGAATCAGCCCAGGTGATCAATTTCTCATCTCAATTCTTTTTTACCCCAAAAAATGAACGAACCAACAGTTGAAGTTCCACCGCAGCCTCCGGCTGCCGCCGACACTACTGCCCTGGCGGCTCCTCCCCTGCCTCACCGCCGTCCGAGGGTGAGGGAAGTGAGCTCCCGGTTCATGTCTCCATCGGTTTCCTCTTCTCACTCTTCTTCTTCCGGCGATCCCCATCTTGTGCCGGCAAGATCGCCCCATTCCAAGCACGTCGCCTCAACTCCTAATCCTACAGAGTTGCAGGGAAGGCGGCACCAGCAGCGGTCCAAATCCGTGCAGAGGTCTCGTCAAGAAGCCGACCCCTTATCGCGTGCCGATGAGAACATACCGGAGACGATCCGGAGCTTGGAAACCCCATTGGGGTTACACAGTAAAGGATTGGTGTCTGTACAGAGGAAGCCCTCTGCTTCTGTGAAGCTTTTCAAGGAGAATGGAGGGGGCAGAGCAGAGCAGTCACATTCATCGGATTTTTCACAATCAAAAGGCCTTGTGAGTGGCAAATGTTCACTGAGAAGTGGAAATTTGATTCCCTCAAGGCCTGATACCCCAACTGTGACTGGTGGGGACAGGGTCATTCAGTCGAGATTCCGGCTTCAGCGTCCGGCCAATTCCGGCGGAGGCACCCCTGCTGTCACAGCAGCAGCAAAGCTGTTGCAGTCAAGTGGGTTGTCATTGTCTGCTCAACCCTCCAATTGGGATTCATCCCAAGAAGCCAATTCCAATTCTGTGAACACTTCTTCAGGGGATGATGACAAAGTGGTTTCACAAAGCCATGCTACAATTCCATTATCAAATGATTCAAATTCGTGCAATGGTTCTCCGGTCCAAAACTGCAAGACGCGGGCTCTTCCAGACGTGCGCTGTTCTATGCCAGAGGTGGATATGCTGCCTACTGTGTCCACCAGATTGCTTGCAGATAGAGGTTGCAGCAGTGGGAATGTCAATGGCAGCGATACTTCGAAATTCACTGTTTCTCCTTGCTCTCGTTCTCTGAATTGTGAACAATCCTCCCTTTTCTATTCACTCAAGACCAATGAGAAATCGACATCTATGACCTACAAACCCTGTTCAAATTCTGTAAAGATGGGAAGCCTTTGTCTGCCACCAGTCCCACCCTGTATGAAATTGGGAGCAGATGCAAAGAAGGGAAGGAAGGGTTTCAGTAATCAAGAAGAAATCCATTATCTAAAGTTGCTTCATAACCGTTATATGCAGTGGAGATATGCAAATGCGAAAGCAGAGGTCTCCTTGCATGCTCAGAGAAGGGAAGCCGAGGTTAGTAATAATCATATTGAATGGTGAAATAGCATAAGCAAACTTTACTTTCTATGTTTATATCATTCTTAGTGTGGCTGATTCATGTTGAATGGTGGAATAGCATAAAAAAGCTTTCCTTTCTATGTTTATATCATTGTAGTGTGGCTGATTCATATTAGTTTGATGAGCTTAGCGCTTTTAAAATCAAATGCTGGCTCCCTTTCATCACTTTTGGTATACAATAGAAACAATTGTATTAGTTTGAGGTGACATCACTATATTGTTTGGTGTATAATTAAGCATACAATTTATGTTAGGGGTTAATTCTTTCTCTATCTCTCTGAGCATACAATTTATGACTGCTTGTGCACACACATGCGCGCAATAAGTTATATACCTGTTATCATTTTTGTGGATATATAGTGCTATGATGATCTAACTAATATTGATATTTCTATCTAGCTTGTGTCCTCAACTTTTTATAGCCTAGATCATTGTTGGTGTGGCATCAATATTGGTTTGATAAGCTTAGCGGCTCTAAAATCAAAATTGGATCTCTTTTGTTCACTTTTGGTGTAGAATAGAAACAACTGGATTAGTTTAGCCATCATTTTAGATTTTTTGGACACGCACACACAATAAGTTTGTATACGTGTTCTCATTCTCAAATGCTTAAGATATTAGAAATGGTGTAACTTTAATATTTAAATCCTCCAAAGATATTTCTATCTAGCTTGTGTCCTCAACATTTGCCTTGGTCATCATTTTAGTTGATCAGTAAATTTTTTGTTCCAACATATTTGCTTTTACAATTATTATATAGTAGCCACAATATAATACTTATCACATCTCTCTATCTCTCTTGAACTCTTTTATTCTTTCAATGATATAAAGGAGCTCTTATATTTCTTTTCTTGTTTAAGTCACTTTTTTAACAATGCATTTTTGTTTCATTGGAAAAATTTTATTTAACCCTCAACCTCTAATTTTTCTAATGTTATTGATTTAAGCTTATTTTGTTATCCCTGTAGAGAAAACTTTATTCTCTAGCAGTCAAGATATCAGATTTACGTAACACTGTGGAAGGGAAACGCATTGAACTTGGGATGTTGCAAAGAGCAAAAACTCTGTTCACAATTCTTGAAGCTCATGTAAGGCTGCTATCTTGATGAATCCTGTAGTGTTTCTTAGTTAAGGAAGCTATGGTGTGCATCTTGTTTCTGTTGAATAGACTAGGTTTCCTTTGGGGGAAAAAAAGTTCAATTTAGAGCTAGATGAAGTGGAATTAGTTGATATTATGCTGCATATCCACATTTAACCATCTCTCATATAACCATTCTCACTAGAAGGGAAAGAGTTTTCACTTCTTTGAAGGAGAAATATACCTAGTTTAACTTCCGCATGATAAATTTAAAGTAATTTATAGCTTGGAAAATATGTAGAGTGATGGATTCATAAAATGATCTAGACGAGTAATCTCTTCATGCTTCTTTCCATTTAAATGAGATTACTATACTCTTACTTGGAGCATAGAATTATATTTGTGGTCAAACCATATATGTAATGGGTATAATTATTGATTTTGATCTATTTTAATTGTACAATTGTTTTGCTTTTGTCTATAAGTTGATTGATTTGCTTGTTTTGTTAGTAAACTAATGATGCACAAGTTGTCTAAATGGTGATTCCAAAATGTTATGTGAATCATCTTCTCAATTTTTGTGTTTTCTTTAAATATTAACATTCCTGTTGTGTAATTCTTCGTTTTTTTTTTTTTTGGTCATGACAAATAACTCACACACCCACAACACCTTAATCCGTTGGTGGGTATCCCTATTGTATAATTGATCAATGAATTTTGTTTTCATTTAGTATTATATACTTCAAATCCAATAATTGCAGCTTTCAAGTGACAATATGCAAGCATCCTTGCTGTCCTACTATAGAGCTAATATATTAACAAAGATTATAGTATTTCTTATTAAATATTCCTATTCAGGAGTGAATGCAGTTTGTGATGCGTCAATGATTGTAACATATTTACTATTGTTGGTGTTATTATTTTTTAAAAAAAAAAAAAAGACCATCCATTGGCCTAGTATAGTTACCTATATTGTATCAGAACTGAATGCTGATGTAGTGAAGATGGTTTTAGCTGCTCTTAGAGATGTTACTACTATGTGGGAATTAGGAACATAAATTTCTGTTACAGTGAAGCTTTGGCTCTGCCTGCAGCAGAAATGACTAAACCATAACGTTTTTCTAATAATTGCAACTCAAAGTAAAAAATTTAAGCATCCTTGTTGTCCTACTATAGAGCTAAGTATGAAATTCAATAGTGAGTGCAGTTTGATGATGTGTCAATGAACTGTAATATACTTGGGGAAAAGAAACTGTATATAATTACTATTTAGAACACCATTGGCATGGGACTAGCATAGTGATCTATTCGCATACAAAACTGGATTCTGATGTAGTGATGCTGGTTTTAGCTGCTCCTAGGGATGCTGCTACTATGTTGAAATTAAGAAAATAAATCTCTAAATCTCTGTTACAGTGAAGCTATTGTTATATTTAAGTCAACCAAAGAAGTGACTGAATCATGACTACAAACTAAATGAATTATTCAGAATATTCACTTATCCAGCAGAAAGTAACTGAACCCTGAATTTTCTTTTTGTCATTCATATTCTTTTGTGCAAACCATCCCCCCATCCTTATGTATCCATCGCATTTGTCAGATGATGAATTATCTGACCCCCAAAAGATTTACATTGAACGGTTTGAGTGAAGAATAACTTGACGTGTAATTTTTATGAATATCATCAGTGAAGGGAAGCTTAGTCAGTGAAATACTAAAAAGATTTCAAGGAGAGTGCATTACATATTGAGGATGATGGTTCTTCCAAGGCTTAAAAGTTACATGCAACTAATACCAGAAACAGGTGCTATATTTCTTGGAAGTTGGTTCAGTAGGGTAAAAAAGCTAAAATGTTGATAATACAAATGAAATGTCCTGTTATGTAGTACAAGAAATAGCAGTCTTCTAAGTGGAATATATCCACTGAACCTGCCCAGAGAGATGAGGCTATATTACCCTGTGGGAAGTTAGACTGCTTTTGTTGAAACTTTTAAAAGCATTATTCCCTCCTAATTGCTTGTTTTTCTGTAATTAATTCTGTTGTATAGAAATTACCTTGTTTGTGTTAATTGGGTTTTATACTGCAGTATTTTTCCAGTAAGCATTCAATGCAATTATGCAAATGCACAGACAGTTTATTTGCACGCCACTCAATCTTGATGATTGCGAAGTTATATGCACTTGACATTATTCTATTGTTTCAGTTTTTTTTTTACCTTTTTCCTTCTCACCCCTTTTCAAGATATTCACATACATTGCAACACTGATATTTATTAATCACATATTCTGCTGCCCTAATTTTAGATGCCATATCTTGATGAATGGTTTGCTTTGGAAGAGGAGTTCTCAACTTCTTTGTCAGGAGCAAGTGATGCTTTGCTCAATGCCTCTCTCCAACTTCCAGTCAGTGGGAATGTCCAAGTAAGATATATTTCTGTCTGTTGATTACTTGTGGAGTTGAGATCATAATTTAACCAACGTTTCGGCTTAAATTTTTGTGTATGGGGGGTCCTCCAATTGCAATGCACTAACTATGAGATAATTATGTTTCAGGTTGATATAAGAGAGGTGGGGGAGGCTCTGCATTCAGCAGCAAAGGTGATGGAGACAATCGGTCTTCATGTTCAAATCTTTATGCTAAAGGTATGATGGATGAATAAACTTCATTTTTTCCAAATAGTCAATGGAAGTTGTAGCACTAGAAAAGCTACCACTTGTCTGAGAATAAGCAGTTGACAGGAGACCCGTCTGATAGTTTCCAAAGGAAGCCTATTTTGTTCTCTAGGTTATATTGATACGAGTATAGCGTCCTTAGAATATATTGAGCATAAAGTTACAGATGAAAGAAAAAGGTACAGAATACAACTGTGGGAAGTTGCTGAACTGAACGGACTTGTAGAGTTTCAGAGAGTGCCACCCCGAAATTGGGCACCCAAATTGGTTTCCTTTCCACTTGCTCGTTTTGAGAAAAGAGAGAATATTGAACAAGTTATTTGCTTCAAGGTATTATTTACTATGCAAACTCTAGATGGAGATAACTGGGTGGAGGATAAAAAGTTCTTTTATGCACTTTGGGCTACCACATTTTCAGTTATGCATGGATCATCTTATAATCATTTGAACAATGAGCAACTTCCAATATTGGAAGGAACAATTTGTCCTTTGAATCGAAACAGGTTCAGGAAACTATATACCTTTTTGCCCCCTTGTTTTTTCTTACAAGAGCACCGATGCTTTTTTGTCCCTTGTAATTTCTTGCTAGAGACTCCCACAGAACTTTAATGCTAGTATTATATGTTATCGGAGACATGGAGAACGGTTCTATATTACTAGGAAGGGGTGCAGAATGATGTCAGTTACATCCGGGGATTGAAATATGATATAATTATGGGCAAGTATGTAGGTGTTGGTTCTGATATAGGTATTATCTGCCAAAACAGCATAGATAAGATGTGCTATTATTCCTGCATATTTATGCATCTGGTCATTCTTGTAAATGGGAGAATTTATTTATTTATTTTTAATGCAGGCCGAAGAACTGGATAATTTGATAACAGAAGTAGCCAGGGTTAGTGGTGGAGAAAGAGCTCTTGTTGAAGAATGTGGAGATTTGTTGTTCAAGACTAATAAATCACAGGTTAGTCTCAAAATGCTCCTTTTTGTAACTTATACCTTATATTCCATCCGTGTTCAAGCCTCGGTGGAGGCATAATATATACTGGATGTGTGTTTGCTTGGACTTTTGAAGGAAAAAAAAAAAAAAAAAAAACCGCTGTTCATTGCCGTGGGATAATTTATATTTTCTGCCTCCTTTATGATTTTATTACTGTTTCTGCCGCCTGTATGATTTTATTGTGGAATAATTTATTTTTTCTTTGTTCTTTTTCTCTTTATTTTTTAGGGGGTTCTGTAATTAAGTTGTTTCATTATTAGTAAAGAAAAATATAGAAAAGGAATTGCAAACAAAGTGCTGCCATTGTTCATTATTAAATTATTGGCTAACAAATTTCAGGTGGAAGAGTGCAGCTTAAGGGGACATTTAATTCAATTACAAAGGAGCAACCATGGTCAACCTCAGGAAGGATGAAAAACTTTGATGACATGACAAGCAATTGAGCACCTTATTTTTTATTTTTTGTTGATCAATTTTTTTGTTGATAAGTTTTTTTTTTTTTTTTTTTTTAAATCCCTTGGCACCAAAGGAAGTGAGTAATCAATTTTCATGTTTGTTGTAATGCATGGAATAAGAAAATATTATACATATGAATTGAGAGCAGCATTGAGATGTAGCTTCTCTTCTGAGTCATGTAAGCTTGATCCATATGCAATGTGATTTTTTGCAACTCAAAAATGTTCGAGTCTACGTTTGTACTTCGAGCTGCTTATTCTTAAGAGTAACGATATTTGGACCGAAGTGTTAGGCATTAACTTTTAACTAAATATATTTGATTGATCATTAATACAAGGGATAAGAAAATGACCCCCATTTTCTTATCTTTGGCATATATTGAACAAATAAAAGCATCCGGTTAAGGAATTGTACACAACTCCTGGACTTAAAAATCATTTTCCTATACCTAATTTTGAAACCAAAATGAGAATATTATCAAAAGCACAGTGAATATCTCATCCCATTTCCTTGTTCAGAACTTTATGGCTGGAAGGGGTAAATGCTTTTTTAATTTTAAAATTTTCTGAAGTAACTTTAGTTTTAGAGACTTTGACATACTAGAGCACTTTAGTAATTTCATGAAATGAACTGTTTGGTAAATTGAAAACTTAATTGTTTAAAAATAAATTAGAAAATTTAATAAAATTCAAATAAGTATATGTATTTATTTTTTAAAAAATAGTTAGAAGGGTAAATTCAAAATCCTTCCATGAAGTATATCTCAAATTGGAAAAGATCTTTTTGATCTTTCAATTTCGCATTAAACACCCTTTTAGTATCCATTTTTTTAGGACAAATTACTCGTCAGTTAGGATGCCATTTAAAAAATCGCCATTAGTTCATTACATGATTTTGATAATAACAAAATTACTCTATCGCAATTTTTTTTTTGAATTACTATCAAGAAATTGCACTAAACCCACAAACTATATATATTAAGCAAAAAAAAAAAAAAAAAAAAAAATCTCATCTTTTAAAATTGTACAAAATGCCCCAGCCGACAGAAACTGTTGAATTTTCATTAATTTATGACATGAAATTATTTAATGGCCTACTTTGAACTTGAAAAAAAAAAAATAATAACAACTCCAAACAAAATATATTAATTTTATTTTATTCTTTTTAAGTTCATTAGTAGGAGCAGTTCAGTAAATTCATAACAAATTAGTGGAGACTTGATGTTCATTAAATAAAAGGGGACTGTTTACTCAATTTTGAATGATAAGGGTTTTTTGTTTTTGTCTCAAAAATAGTTTTGAGATTGCTAATTAAACGCAGGAGCCAAACTCCGCAGAGCAATACAAATACAGTTTTATTCTTAAAATTTCAGTTTTAATAAGCAACACCTTCATCCTTTGTCACTTCCTTTCCTTTCCGTTCCTTTCCTTTCCTTTCCTTCCGACGCCTTACATTCTAAATACAAAATACAAAGCCAAACGGTGTCCAATTCCAATCCCCCAACTCAGAGAGAGACGGAGGGACAAAGATTATCCGCAATCAACTTTGAATCTCTGCAGAGCAGTGTGTTGATTTGATAAAGATCATCGTCTCCAATGGCGCTGAAGTTTCTTAACAAGAAGGGATGGCACACGGGTTCTCTTCGGAACATAGAGAACGTGTGGAAGGCGGAGCAGAAGCATGACGCTGAACAGAAGAAGTTGGAAGAGCTCCGCAAGCAGATCCACGAGGAGAGAGAGCGATCCGAGTTCCGTCTACTCCAAGAACAAGCTGGCCTTGTCCCGTACGTCTTTCAATTTCTTCAATTTCGTTTTTTCCCCATGAATTTTGTTCAAAGTTCATATTTTTAGGGTTTTTTTTTTCTTCTTCTATTTCTTCATTGGGTTTGTTGATTTCCATCAATTATTTTACTAAGTTGCTCTTATATATATATATATATTTATTTATTTATTTATTTATTTGCAGCAATCAAGAGAAATCCAACCTCATGTTTTTTTATGTGAAATTTTTAGGGTTTCATTCCTTTTTTGATCCTATTTCTTCTCTTCACCAGGTCGTTGATTCAATCAATTACTTTACTAAATTGTTCATATATAATATATATGTATATCTATTTGCAGCAAGCAAGAGAGGTTGGATTTTCTGTATGATTCTGGATTAGCTGTGGGAAAGGGCAGTTCTGAAGGATTCAAGGCACTTGAACCCAAAACTCAAACGGACACACCCTCCTCTTCTTCTGCCAAGGTTTGTTTCTTCCATATAATTGGGTTCAATTATATGTTAATGGAACTTTTGTTTGGTTGTGAGTGTGACGAATCTTTTAAACGTGGTTTTTGATTCTCTCAGCCGCAGCAGCCAGGAGCTTTATTTGAGGAGAAGCCTCAATCGGCTAATGATGCGTGGAGGAAACTCCATTCAGATCCTTTGCTTTTGATTCGGCAGCGAGAACAAGAAGCTCTGGCTCGTATAAAGAACAACCCAGTTCAAATGGCCAGGATTCGCAAAACTGTAAGTTCACTCTTCATAGGATCACCAGCTCATGCACTAACTATTAAATCAATGGATGTGATAATAATGGTTGACTAATATTTTGATTATGGTAGAAAGAAGGGTAGATCCATAAGTGTTTTAGTATTTGTAAAGTGAATGATATGTCTGAATTGTCATGAATTTTAGGAGCCTCTTGCCTTCTATGTGCGAAAAAGAATAAGCTTTAAATGTTAGACGTAGTTTAATTCTACAATCACAAATAAAAGGTAGTGTTTATTATACAAGAAGCTGTGAACATGTGTTTTTCCTCTATCTTTGTTGTCATTGTTGATGGCCTCTTTGTAAAGGCTCCTTCAGGTGTTCAATATTGTCAAGGCAACAGTACACTCTCTGGTCTGTCTTATAAAAAAAAACAAATCATTACACTCTCCAGTCTCTAGTGAAATACATTGTGGACAAGCACCAAGTTTGTCGTAGTGAAATAGATAAGTGCTGGGCGTGCATCTAATAGGTAGCAGTGAGTTCAAGGGTTCAAAATTAGTGCTGTCAATAAAAATATACATTGTCAAAAAGCTTCTGTTAACTTTTCATTGGTTTCGTGGAGGATTTGTTGCACACTTGGAGGCCATGCTATGGCTCGAAACACTTACAGTTTATATGTAGTATCTCCTTTGTAGTGTTCCTTAGTTTTTGAAGCACTTTTTTAAACATTAATTTGAGCCCTTCAATATCAAATCAACTCATGAAGGTCCATTCAACTAATAAATAATTCCAACCTAGAGTTTTATGTACGCTAAGGTCTTATCTTACCTTTAACTTAAACAATTGATTGAGCTTGACGAGAATATCAATGTGTTCTTCGCCGTGACATGGATTACTTTCCCTATTGATAAACAAACTTTAGGGTCTGGAGGTGGAGTCTTGGAGCAATTGTACTGAGGGATGAGAGAATACAGTCCTTTTGTAGTTTCTGTTTATAATTGATGAAACTTTCTTCAATACATTATTACTGGGGAAGACCCCAAGGTTGCCATTTTGCATACTGCTATTTTAGAGAAGTACTTTTATGCTAGGTTAGGAATCAGATTTTCAATTGCTCTCATTTAATGCCTATAGTTATAGTATTACGTTTTGGTTTGCATTTCTTAATAGGTTTAGAGTCGTGTTCTTCATGCCTTTATTTATCTTTACCATTCTGGTGTCAATGACAGAGATTTGAGAAGTTTAGGAATTTAGGAGTGATTTTCTCTAGGATGATTTGGGTGATTGATGTAATCCTTAATAACTGTAAGAAAGATTAATGCTGAAGAAGAGGGAAATTTTGAAAATTGTTGAATTCCAAATCGGGGCTCACTTGGGGTTCTTGCATCGGTAAGCTGGAGTCTATTCTAGTCTTACTTTGTACTTCCTATAAATTAGTTGTTCTTAGTTCAGCCTTTTATATTCCTCTGTTTTAGTTAGTCAGTTATTATTGTACATCGTGGAACCTAACCGAACAGCACGTTTCTCTCCGGTTTACCAGTTCTAACAGTTTTTTGTACACCTCTAGCTGTGTGGTTTCCATGCACTTCAGCTTTGACCTGGGGTGGGGTTCTGGGGTGAGCCTTTGCCACAATTCCTGGTGTGGGGGTGTATCCCTTGAAAGAGGTATTAGTGAACAATTCTGGATTGTGATGACCAAGGATTCCGCTTTTAGACAGAGTGCTGCTATCATCTATGTTACATGGACTTGGATACTTGTGTTTACAAGTTAGATTTACCAAATCTTGAAATTTAAGGATCCGAGGATATGATTGATTATTTGTCATCTTTAATATTCTTCTTTCATTTTTGAGGAGGTTAATAGTGTTTTTAATGCAGTGTGTTTAGCACGAGCACTTCATTTGCTTTGAAATTATAATGTAATTAAAGGAATATTGTAAGCGATTTGCTTTTAGACAAAGTGCTGCTATAGTCTATGTTACATGGACTTGGATACTTGTGTTTACAAGTTAGATTTACCAAATCTTGAAATTTTAGGACCTAAGGATATGACTGATTATTTGTCTTCTTTAATGTTCTTCTTTCATTTTTAAGGAGGGTAATAGTGTTTTTTATAGTGTGTTTAGCACGAGCACTTCATTTGCGTTGAAATTATAATGTAATTAAAGGAATATTGTAAGCGATTTTTATGCAAGATTATATAGAAACGAATCACGGATATGTATTTAGATGCATGTCCAACTAGACATGTCAGGCACATATTCCATTAGGTGTTGCATGTCTAATAGGGGCACTTTATGCATTTAGAAGCATTCAATAATATAGTTTACCATAGAAAATAGTGTTTTTGGTACAAAGTTTCTGGAAAATTCCTATCTTGAACTGGTGAATGCATTATGAGTTCTTGTATGAGTACAACAAAAAAATCAATACTTCAATGCTTTGTGGTGGAGGGCTTCGAGTAGAGCATAGATTTGCTGTGAGGTCTTTCATACGGACTTGAATGAGAAGTTGTGGGGAAGCTGATAGCTTCCCATGGAGAGGCATTTGGCGTACGATACTTTGCCTGGAGGCAATCTTGGGCAATTTATCGAAAATTGATAACTTGGTAAGGAAGGGCAAATGTATAAGATCCTTCCTGGTTGGTGTTATATGTATGGGGAGTCAACCACCTTTTGGTGCATTGTCCAGTGGATTGAGGACCATAGTCTCTCGAGGGGCATCAATTGGACCTGGCTAAGGGAGGCCTGGGTCTGGGAGGTAGGTTTGCAATAACACAGGTCCTTTTTAACTCATTTTGTCTTGAATGGACATGTCTCCAGTTGAGTGTAGGAATAACTAACTTAGCTTTGAAGGGTTAACCATTGATTGGAATGCTCATTTTGGCCTGCCATACACATAGATATATCCTTGCTGTTAGGAAACACCCAGTGCTGACCACCCTGAGAGACATGAAAGCACAGCATAATGCCAGTTGGCAAAGTGGCGTCAAGCATCTCTAACAGTACTAAAAGAGAGGTCATGATGATATCATCTACGTCCGTACTGCTCGTCGTCGAGTGGATCCTGCATCCAATCAAGTCTTTGAGCAAGGAGTGGGAGAATTCCCACTATCACCAGCAGGCCAGCTGGGCTCTGAGTGTGGGGGGAATGGGCTTCCCAAAAAGCCATCTTGGGTCGGGGTCAGCATAGAATGTAGGGGATGACCCTAATGTTCTGTTGGCATATATAATATTAACCCAAATGCTTGTAGGGTTGCATATTTTTAGGGTCCTTTTTTGCTTATTCCATGTTGTTTGAATGGCCATTTCTCTAATTGAGGGGAGGAATCCCTAACCTTGCTTTGAAGGTTTAATGATTGTTTCAAAATGCTCATCTTGGCCTTTATTTATTTATTATCAAACCAAATGTGGGCATGGTCTGGTTCCATCACTTATTCCTGTGAACTGAAGGTTCTTGTTTATTTAAATGCATTATTTGTCAAAGATGTAATATTAAACACTTCTTAACGGTTTCGTCTTTTTATTTTTTATTTCTATGAATGAACAAATTTATGCTAGTAGACTGTTGTACTATATTGAATTATCCTTATTCGGAATGCATGATGCATCTGTAACCATTTTATATTCGTGGTCTGCTTGTAGTTGTGTTGATAGATCATAGACATGCTTCTCCAGCAAGTCCTTCAAATTTTAGGAAGTGGATTGCCTAATTTTTTCCTTTTGCCTATGAATTTTTTGTGTTCAGAAAGGCTTCAGTACCGGCCCAAAAATACATCATATTTACACCCGTAAATCAGTACGGTGTTGAGAAAAAGCATATGTTGAATTTGTAGTGTTAGATTAGTGTTATAGTTTTAAGTTTTAAACCCTACTTTTAATGCCCATTTCCATGAAAGGTTTTATTAATATGTTGTACATACCGTTTTTCATTTCTAGGTTAAAGGAAAGGAGGACAAGGAGAAGAGTCCTGATAGAAAAGAACGCCACAAGAAGCACCAGCATAAGAAGTCGAAGCATCATAAGAATTCGTCGTCCAAGCACCACTATGATTCCGAAGATGTTGATGAAGAAGAAGAAGAAGAAGAAGAAGAAGAAAGAAGAACCTCTAATAAAGGCAAAAGCTCAAAATATGATGACCATGTAAAGAAAGCAGCTCCAAGTTCAGAAGAATTACATGAAAGGGATATTCGAGGAAAGAAGAATTCTGACAAGGACTTGAAGTACAAAGAGCCACTACCTAATGATTCTAGACAAAGTGAAGATAAATATGGAACCAAGAGGATTTATGACAAGTCAAGACATGAGGAATATTATTCAGAAGGCCGGAAGGATTCTGAATCTGCTAGAAAGGGAAGGGAGGACAGAAGTTTTTCTCATGCAAGCCGTTACAAGTCTCCTGATGTGGCACCACAGGATGAATCACACCAGAAGCGTCGGAATATACCCCCTAAACTTTCTGATGAAGAGAGAGCTTTGAGGTTACGAGAGATGCAAATGGATGCTGAGCTGCATGAGGAACAAAGATGGAAACGACTAAAGAAGGCTGAGGAAGATGATGCGCAGGAGGCTAGCCGAGCACGCGTGTCTAGTGGCAGAAATTTCTTGGATGCTGCTCATAAAAGCGTGTACGGTGCTGAGAAAGGGGGAAGCTCCACAATAGAGGAAAGCGTCCGTCGTCGGAAATTTTATTCGCAGGGCAGGTCAGGAGCGGGCGACAACAATGCTTTCCGGCGATAAGACAGTTGAACTTTGACTCCACAATAGAGGTCATGTGCCAAGCTCGAACTTGGCTGGCATTGTGCTTCAAGGACAAACTGCTCAACGTCAAGCCAGCTAAGTCGAACGGTAACTCCTCATTGTTGTAATGAAAAATAATTTAGCTTGTATTTGGTTCGTTTGCTAGAAAATTGTTGGATAAAACTTGCTAGAAAACATTCGCTGCATGAAATAGCCTTCAACTCTAGTGGTTTGTGAAATGACTTTTCTCCAAATTTTCAAGGGACAAGATAATTGAGTTGTGTTCCACGAATGTTTATATTTGATAGTGTTCAAACGTGATGATCAAAGAAGTTATAATGAATCTCAAAATACACACGCAGAGACTTGTGATTCTGTTTCAATAATATGGTTCGACTCCAACTCTACAAGACTACAAATAACAAATACAATGCAAAATTCAAGTTCAACTGTGGAATTGGGCTTCCTAAATTGGTTCAAATAATTTCTTCTGTGATAAAAAATTACTCTAATCTCCCCAAAAGTAACAAGTAGGTCTAATCCGCTGGTTTGACTTTTTAATGCCACTATTACGGAGTTAAGCTAGTAATCTCCCCAAAAGTGACAAGTAGGTCTAATCCGCTCATTGACTTTCTAATGCCAATATTACCCTTGAAATAGATGAAGTTAAGCTCACAATACTCGTCAATTTGGGATCAGATTTTTCTCGGGAGGTATTGGAATTGGAATGTAATAAAAAATATCGATTCATACAGAAGAAAAAAATGTTCTCTATTGAGATTTTTCTTGGGAGGTATAGGAATTGAAATGTAATAAAGAATATGGATTAATACATAAGAAAATGTTCTCTATTGATTCAAACACTGTTCCCCTTGAATAAGGATAGAGGAAGAAGAAAAATCGAAGATTTCACATAATGTTCTTCTCTGCGGCATACGTCCTAGTGGAATTAATGGGGTGGGCTCATGTACTCGCTCCAATGGGCTCTTCTGCATAGGGGAATCAAAGTTGATTGGCTCTCTTGGCCTAGAAATTAATGGGGTGGGTTATTAACATATGGGAATCGAACTTGGGCCACTTAGTCACAAGCACTCACGCCCTACCAACTGGGCTATCACACCACACCTGAAAAAAGTGTAAATTGAAATGGTGAAAAGTGAGGTGTGAAAATTTGAAGCATGAGATTGAAATTGTAATATTTGGTGCACGGGAGACATGGAATATTTGGCTGAAAAGTATAAAACAATGGGCTGAAAGTTGAAGCAGCAAACATCTAGATGCCTTTGGAAATTGAAGAGAAGAGAAAGGGCCTCCATTCATTGTTTTGTCGATTCACTATTAAAAGAGTGTGAGATTGAAGAAAATTGTATTAAAATATTTTGAAATTAAAAATTGAGTAAGAATATTGTAACTCTTTTGAATTTAAAGTTTTTACTTCGTTATTATCTCAATGTGAGATTTATCTATCTTTTTAACTTCTACTTCCTCCGATACTTCAAACATCTTTATAATATATAGGGCAAATTTCGTATAACCTCCACTACTTTCATTTTTTGATCATAAAACCCCAACCTGTTTCTAAAAACCCCTATACTTTTAAAAAATGTTCACATTGCCCTAATATTCATATCCGACCCATTAATTAGGCTGTGAAATGACAAATTTGACCTTAACATTTAATATTAAATTAAAAAATAAAAAATATTTTTATTAAATTACAAAACACCCTTAAAGAGTAAGCATAGTGTCACGGGCCTAGAGATTTGGCGCAGCGGCACGGCCCGTGCGGCACCAAGGCGTTGCTTCAGCTCGCGCAAGCGCCCTGATCAGCCACCACGACCTGCCCTCCCGAGGATACATGCTGACTGGTTTCGGCCTGCCATGGCCTCGTCAGGGGAACGGCCCCAGCTCCCGACCAGTTTGTGCAGGGATGGCCAACTCCCTTCTTCATAGTCAAGTCCACGACCAGCGACAAGCACCTCGAACTGAACCGAGTCGACCTGCCTGAACTCTGAAGAGGTACCATCCTGTGGTCCTGCACGCCCCTTCCCTGGAACCATTCCCAGTCAATGAATGTTCTTAGCCAACCAGCATGCGTATCTTCTATGCTCATGGCGTCGTTAGGAATCGGATCGTGACATTCTCCCCCACCCAAATCCTGCGACGCCCTCGTCGCAGTGCGGCGCTGACTCCGCTGCGTCCAACATTCCAAAGTCTCTCTCCCCCAAGTGGTATGCTCGCCTGCCCACCATCGCTTCCTTGTACAACCCCTGGCTGCACTCGCCCAATGATAGGGTTTCGGGCTAAAGGGACGCCCACTTCTTCGGGACGCAACCCCACGTTATGCCGCCTCCGCGACACCCCGAGCAAACAAGCGCCCTCCGGCTGACTTGATACCCGCCCTTCACAACGGTTTGCACGCCTCTTGAACTTGCAAGAACTTTGGTGCGCGCGGCCCTCCGGCCATCCGATTTGCGCGGCCCTCCGGCCTAAAGGAGGCGTCTTCATGGGGAGATGGAGGCTCTCCTCCAACAGCATTGATTGCCCACCGACGCTTTAGTGCACCGTCTTCATTCTCAAGACCCCCGGATCGACAAGGGGGCACACCTCTGTGCTTTTCCCCAAGTCCTGCTCTGATACCATTTGTCACGGGCCTAGAGATTTGGCGCAGCGGCACGGCCCGTGCGACACCAAGGCGTTGCTTCAGCTCGTGCAAGCGCCCTGGTCAGCCACCACGACCTGCCCTCCCGAGGATACATGCTGACTGGTTTCGGCTGCCATGGCCTCGTCAGGGGAACGGCTCCAGCTCCCGACCAGTTTGTGCAGGGATGGCCAACTCCCTTCTTCATAGTCAAGTCCACGACCAGCGACAAGCACCTCGAACTGAACCGAGTCGACCTGCCTGAACTCTGAAGAGGTACCATCCTGTGGTCCTGCACGCCCCTTCCCTGGAACCATTCCCAGTCAATGAATGTTCTTAGCCAACCAGCATGCGTATCTTCTATGCTCATGGCGTCGTTAGGAATCGGATCGTGACATTAGGCCTACCCGGGTTAACTTAGTTCCCTCAAAAGTCGATCTCAAACTCACCAAATAAGGTAATATCGCTTCTGGTAGCACGGGAAGAGTAACTATCAAATCTTTCGCCACTGAAACTCGAAGATGGCGGTTCGGGGGATTGTCGAGGAGACTCAGATGGGTAGATTTTATCACTATATTTCTTCCCAAGGGAACAAAACCGGCAAGACTTTATACGAATCCCAATCTCTTTGATGCTTCCCATATCTCCTGATGCATCGATCACCAAAGAGCCATAGCCCCTCGCACAATTCCTACACAACATTCGACCACAGCTTTGGTAGTAATACCTGAGGCAAGTGACTGAAAAGTTCATCTCACACTCGCAACACGCTTTGCAAATGTTGTCATCCATATGGAGTTTCTCAGACAAAGAAGACAGATCGCTTGCTCCCCAATAAATCCAAGACCAAACTCTTTCAATCAAATCTATGAGTGACCTATCAAGTATTCCAATAGAAAGCAATGACCCACCAAATTCCTTCTTCTTAACACAAAAATTTTGTGAATCTTCTTCTCCTCCTAATTATAACTAAAATAACAAAAATCTACTGCTTTGAAATTCTCCGACTTGCTGGTATTCAAAGACCTGATTAAAAAAATTGAAATTACAAAACCCACAAGAAAAATGGTGGGTCTCGGATTCGAAACTCAAATGGGTGATTTTAAGCTTGGTTTTTCTTTCCCCCCTTCCCTTTTTTTCTAGTTTGGTAAACAAATAAAATAGGAAATGAATTTCCTCCTCCAGAACAAACTATGGCAAAAAAAGGAAACCGATTGCTACCACTAAAATTACGTACAAAATGGATTTTATTTACACAGAATCGTATAATTATAAAATGACATAGAAACACAATGAATCCGAACAACAACAATAAAGGAACAGTGTATTTTTTTTTCCCTTTTTTTCTCTGATGAATCTATCACAGCAGTTAAAAATAGCTCGAGACTCTCAAACCCTAAACCCATCTAACCGATCCCAGAATCATCAACATCATCTAATTTAGATCCCAAGATCGATTTGAGCATCAGAAAAACTAGATCCAGAGTTTGAAACCTAGAAGAACACCAACAACCAAACCCAGTTCTGATACGATTCACTTCAAATCAAACAGTGCAAGCTCTAACAACTTTAAGGATGTTTTTGTAATTTAATTAAAAAAAATTAATTTTAAATTTAATATTAAATGATAAGGTCAAATTTGTCATTTCACAGCCTAATTAACGGGTCGGATACTGATATTGGAACAATGTGAACACTTTTTAAAAGTATAGGAGTTTTTAGAAACAAGTTGGGGTTTTATGATCAAAAAATGGAAGTAGTGGGGGTTTTACGAAATTTGTCCTAATATATATACTCCATCTATCATAAAATAAGTGATATGTTTTGGGAATCGTGGTGTGAGTCACGGTTTTCAAAACATAACATTTATTTTGAGACATAGGGAGTACTTAACAAGTTCTTAATATTAAAATGTAACCTTTTCAAAAATAAAATGATAATATAATTGTTAAAAATCATTTAAAATTTATTAAAATAGAAGTATTAAGGTATGTATTATAATTTAGTCCACAATTTTTTTATACAATATAACATCACTCCTACAAGTAACTATTCTTTTTTTAAATTTAAGTCTCATTATAGGTTTTTTGAAGTAATGTATACTTTTTCGTTTTTTCCATATAAATGGGGTGTTTGGGATTTTATCCCGATTAATTGATTTGACTGTGTAAGGCGTCCGCCACACCCTTAAAGAACTATTTGCACGTAGGAGGAATTGATTATAAGACCAGATACTTAATGAGACACTAGAGTTTAAGTCTTTTTATGTGAATCATTTTAAACAAGCCTAAGGCAATAATATATTGAACTACACACCAAGAAGCAATTAGTTCAGTAGTATAACCTCTCTTTCTTCAAAAGAATGGAGTTTGAACCCATGGTAGAAAAAAAACCCAAAAAATAGTAGTGTAATATCATCCGGTGCCTGATGGTTTTGAATGTATGTTGTGTTTTATTGCCTGTACGCTGTATGCTGGGTGACTATGTATTAGTGTCTAAAATTATTTTTAGTGTACGTGGTGTTGATGGTTTTGAATTTATGTTGCGTTTTATTATTGTCTGTATGGTGTGTGGCTACTATGCATTAGTGTCTAAAATTATCTGTTGGTGTATGTGGTGTTTATCTAGAGGAGAGTAGGAATTGT